TGAAGTGGTGAAAGAATCACTTGTCTTAACTTAAAAATTAGACATTGTGATGTGGACATTTTTAGTATATAATTTTGGTATAGTTAGTAGGTTTTATAAGGGCCATGTGACCATTTTCTGTTTATACTTTCGCTACAATGCGAAAGATGTATATTAGGACATTGATGGCTTAATAGATTAAATTTTAGACTAATTTGGCCACATATGGGTTTAGGAGCTTTTTTTTGGTTTTCAAAAACAGAGAAATGTTCTAAACCCTAGATCTCAAGATGTAGGTGCTAATTGACAGTTTCTTTGTGCTTGGGTTACTAACCCGGGTGTTGTACATTTGGACACCGGTGATCAGATTGATTAAAAATTTGTCTAATTTGGCCATATATGGGTTTGGTAATTTTTCATGGTTTCTAAAAATCAAGAAAGGTTCTTAGCCCCAAATCATAAGATGTAAGGGTAAGTGACCATTCTCTGTTTATACTTTGGTTAGTAACTTGAAAGATGTATATTTTAGACACTGATGGTCAGATTAATTGTAGTTTATAGACTAATTTGGCCACATAAGGGTTTGATAACTTTTATTGGTTTTCAAAAACTAAAAAATGCTCTTTAACTTAAATCACAGGATGTGGGGCAAGTGACAATTTCTCTCTTTGTGCTTGGGTTATTAACCTGGGTGATGTGTTAGTGACCAAATTGATTACAATTTATAGTCTAATTTGGCAACAATGCAACATATGGGTTCGGAAACTTTCCTTGGTTTCCAAAAACCAAGAAAGGTTCTCAAATCTAAATGACAAGATTTAAAGACCAAGTGAAAGATGTATGTTAAGATGTAACATACTTTCGCTACAACGTGAAAGATGTATGTTAAGACACCAATGGTCAAATATATTTAATTTTAAATTAATTTGGCCCCATGTATTAGTTCGGTAACTTTTCTTGTTTTTCAGAAACCAAGAAAGGTTCTAAACCCTAAATCCCAAGATGTAGGGGCCAAGTGATAATTTCTCTCTGTGGTTGGGTTACTAAACAGTGTAAGTATACTTGGACACCGGTGGCCAGATTGATGAAAGATTAGTCTAATTTGGCCACATATGGGTTTGGTAACTTTTCCTAGTTTCCAAAATTGAGATAGGAACTCTGCACTAAATTACAAGATGTAAGGGTAAGTGACCATTCTCTATTTATACTTTGGTTACTAACCTGAAAGATGTATATTTGGACATCGGTGGCAAAATTAATTACAGTTTATAAACTAATTTGGCCACACAAGGGTTTGGTAAATTTTCTTGATTTTCAGAAATTAAGAAAGGTTCTCTAACCTAAATCACAGGATATAGGGGCAAGTGACAATTTCTCTCTTTGTGCTTGGGTTAGTAACTCGGGTGATGTATATCTAAATATCGATGACCAGATTGATTACAATTTATAGTCTAATTTGACAACAATGGTGTTAACTTTTCTTGGTTTGAAAAAACCAAGAAAGGTTCTCAAACAACAGATATTCCCTATAAGTTTATTTGGGGGACAGAGCAGATTCCATGGTGTAATTTTCTTTCCTTCAGTTTTTTACTTCTGAGTCATTAGCTTTCTTGGGTTGTCTGGTATCACCTAACCAGATTAAATTAATAGAAAAAGTGCCTAGCTTCAACAAGCATTTCATCGAATTGTATATGGCATAGAGGGGAAATTCAAGTTAAACAATGTTGAAGCAAAGTAAAATGCAAAATAGCTGTTTAATAAAAATGTGTAAAAGAATAGAAATTACCTCATGGGTGAAAGGGGAAATTGACACATTCACAACAAGTGTCTTAATATCTGACCTTATTAATAAATTTTTTATTCTACACATGGTTCAAAAATATAATTTTGGAAAGACCTTTAGTGCGGAATTCTACCTTAACACCCTCCTTCCCTAGACTTTTCAACCTCTCCCTAGACAAGCACTCAAGTATCTCCTCTTGCATTCTTCACATCCCTGTTATCAACAACCTAAATTTATAATTGAGAAGACCCTTAAGGGACAATTGCACATGCAGAATTTTGGAGTTAGACAAAGGGCTCCACCTAAATATAGTAATATTATCACTCTATTTGAAAACATGATGCATCAACCCCAGCCTCCTAACCTACCACTCCAAGAGAGCATTACACTTCTCGAAAGGGGCTAATATTGTGGTGGATTTTAACATTAAGCCTTTTATCACACCATTTACAATTCTCCTCCAATCCCTTAGTGGTTGTTCAGTAACAACTACTAACTTCCTCTCCCAATCAACATTGGCAACGTTGATGGTTATCCTATCACCACTTTTAATGTATCCTAATTTCAATAGCGCTCCCATCAAAAAATTCTTTTCACCATCTTAAATTTATGCATCGCCATCATTTTGGGCTGCCTAAACTATGAGCAATAACCAATCCTCTCCCCCTCCAAAGCAATTTATTCATTATTCCTCCCAATAGTTTTATCAAAACACCTAGAAAGTTGTGAATGATTTCAAAGAAATAAGTGAAAGGATTTGGTGTTCTTGAAGAACTAAAAAAAACAAACTATATGATTAGCCCTACTTGTAAGAAAAACAGAGACATCTTACCAGAGAATACAAGATCTGAAGAATGGAACGGGAGAGATAGAGGTGAGCAGAACAAGAGAGACAACAGTGAAAGAGACTCCTTCACTCGAACAAGTGAGCAAAGAACCGAAAGATGCAAAGGTGTAGGGAGATTCCTTCCCTTCCAAAAGATGTAGATGTGAAAATAGACTCCTTCACTCGAACGAGCAGAGAACAAGAGATGCAGGGAGACTTTAAGCGATTAAAGAGAAGAAGAGAAGAGAATCAAGAGAGAAGAAAACGATCGCAAGCAAGAGAGAAGAAGATGATTGTAGGCGAGAGAGAAGGGAGCTGAAATGGGCTGATTTTGTTTTTGTTTTTTGTTATTATGGCCGAAAAAATTCTCTTATCATCTAGAAAACCTATTTTAATCCTTCTTATAATAACAAAATGACTTCTGACCAGTATGTTCATGTTTACATTCTATTATCTTTGTCATAGCTTGTTAAACATTTCCATTGAGAAAATAGATGGATTAATAATATAGCTTTCATGATCTTTGATCTGTCTTTGTCAGAGAATAATATATGCCTTGGATACGTATGAATATTCAAAAAACTAAGATCTTTCTTTGTCAATGACCATTTATAAAATCCTTTTACCACTTTATTCACAAGGGACCAAGGTTTAAAGTATCAGAAACATAAAGTGTTTTGGAAAGACAATTTTAATAAGATATGCAGTTGGATACACATGAGTATTCAAAAGAAAAACTAAAATATGCATGAAAACACTATAGATTATAGATACTTCAATATATTATAAAAATACATCAATACTAAATATAAGCCTTCCATAAGTTTTATACACATAAAAATCACATATTTTAGTAGGTTTTATGAAGAAAAATATATAAAAATATAAGAACATATTCAAATTTCTCCAAGTATTTAACTATCATGTCTACACTTAACATTTCACATTTTATTTCATATTTCTTACTTCCTAAGAGACTACAATGAAAGAATTTAATTATCTCCTTAAAATAGAAATCATTCAAAAGAATGTAAGTGATAATTCTTTTGGTATTTAAATAGTTATTTTCTATTTATTTTTATTTTAGAAAGTAAATAAAAATTCAATTTTTTTTTTTACATAAAATTGTATAGGTTTATGGATATATCAATTTCTGCTTCTTAATTAAAAAAATCATAATTGTATCATAATATCATATAGAATATATCAATTTCTTTTTTATGTAATTTTATCTAGTTTTCAAATTTCATTAAAAACCTATATTTAATTGTCCTATTCAACCATAAAATATACATTGGCACAACTTCTAAGTGAACATATAATTAATAATTATTTTATTGAAATAATTACTTTCTATTTTTTAATTCCAAAAATTACAAAAATGGATAAATAAATATTGAAGAAGAAACTCCAATTACTCTATGAATATGATAAATCATCCACATATCTACAACATACCCAATCCTTAACAATCACAAGAAAATATAAATAATTATTTTTTATTATTTAATTCCAAAATTACAAAAAAGTAAAAAGAAAATAATGAAGAAGAAATTTCATTTGTTACATGGATATGATAAATCATCCATTGATCTACAACATACTCAATCTTTACGGGTAGATAACAAAAAAATATAAATAATTATTCTTTATATTTTAATTCTAATAATTACAGAAGATCAAAATAAAATATTGAAAAATAAATCTCAAATTTTCTAAGGATATGATAAATCATCCATAAATCTACAACATTCTTAATTTTTATGAAAAAATAAACAAATATTTCTTTTTTGGTTATTTTATATTTTCTCCAAATTTCTTAAAAAATCCATAAATCTACTCATAACACCAAAAAAAGCTATGATTTTCAACACAAGAAATGTAATTCAAGATAGGTTAACCATTCTCAAGCATTCAAACAACAAAAAAAAAAAGAAAAGAAAAGAAGCAATATATATTATAAGAAAAATTGAAAAGAATACCTATTTTGACAGTACTTTCTTAATCTTAAAAAATCTTCACAAACCTTGATGATTGAGACGTTTTTTTTTTTTTTTTGTAAATCTCCCAATTTGGGACTGGGTTTGTTGTTTTATAGGATTTTGGAAGTAAAAAGTGCAAACTTTCTTCAAGGGTTAGAAGTCTTCTTTCCCCCTCTCGTTTCCGTCCTTTAAGAATTCAGTGTATCCATCAATACGGTAGTGTATCAGTCGATACAGCACCGATAAACTTTCAACTGATATATTACTGATACAGGACGATACAGTGAAAAAATTAAGAAACACCCCATCTCTGACTGTTCTCATATGAATTAATTATTCAAAAATACGATATGATACAACAAAAAGATTGTAAACCTTGTTCTGTTGTGGTTCAGATTGTAAATCTCCGGAAATTATTTGCTCCCTTATCTAGAGATGAATAACCTGTTTTTATAAAGCACATTAGCACAATTCAAATATGGAATTTGATCAACAAAAAGAATCTTTGTAACAGATAACATGTCGCAGTATATTAACGCACTTCCCAACAGTTTACCAAAAATACAAATGTTGTCAAGGTAAAAAGGGCAGCCATCAACGTGTCTTAGTTTTTTTCCTAGGCCCAGATAATTGAATCGCCTGATCCACCATCCATGTAAGAGAAACAGTCGAACCATGCGGCATATATTGCCTGGAGAACCACAGATAAAATATAGTCTCCGTCTCCAAGAGAGCAAGTTCCCTCCAGTAATCCCTTGTACATCACCTGGTTATAGAAACTGACTATGTTGCACAACCAAACCAATCAATGCATTAATGGAGTGGAATGCCCCCGCCAGCATATTCAATCTCCTGAAAACACAGAAACACTTGGATGTTGGATGTTAAGTGGCTTCACAAGTGTTTACAAGTTTGCCAACTTTGCAACAAAAGCCAATATTACAAGGGTTGCTTCTTCCCGAGAAAACAAGACGGCTACTTGGACAGGTTTGCAAATCCAACTGGAGTTATATTCAAACCATGTCTGAAATTTGTCCACAAAAGTCAAGGTGAATTGACAACTTAATTACAATTTAAGTGGTTACACTTTTCCATCCCGAGTGTACCCAATAGAGTCAACATGAGAACATTTGTCAGGAGTCCAATCATTTTATGCATAAACATTGCACTTTGGCACATCAACACAAGTATAATCCAATCTGGTCGCCTTCATGTATGTAAGTTGTTTCTCATCTATCTAACCAGAAATTTAATCAGTTTTAAACAAATATGTTTCCTTTAAGCCTTTAACAGACAAGTCAAAAACCATAACTATTCAGACTTCCTTTTTATTCTCTGATCAGTAACTGATAGATGCTCCCATTAAGTACTGATGCTTTTCATTAACGGTCCAACAGAAAAATAGTTTCTTTGAAATAAAATAAAGGGTCAATTACAAATTACCCCCTGTAATTTGGGGGTAGTGACATTGTCCCCCCAAACTTTCATTTGTGACAAAGACCGATCCTAAACTTTCAGATTCTAGCACTTTAGCGCTGCCGTTAGCCAAGGTTCTAAATATCGACATGGGCTGATATGCCAGTAGGGTGTATTGGCCTGTATCGGTAATTTTTTTTAAGTTTTATTTATTTTTTTCGAAACTGGTTCAGAGGGATTGATTTAAGGCCCGGCTACCCTCTGAACCGGTGGCTGACCCGATACAACCCCTGGAGGGGCGTATCGGTAAGCCATTGGCACGATACGTATCGGCCAATACGGGCCGATACTTACCGATACTTTGAACCTTGCCGTTAGCATTCCATAAGTTTAACTTCAGAAAAGATTCTCATGTGCATGTTTAAACATTTCAAAAACCCAAACTACCCTTATATCATTTTATGAAACCATCTCACCGAAAATTGATAAAATAAACAAAAAACGAAAATAAAGAAATAATAAGAAATTGCAGAAAATACAGGAAATACAACAAAAAATGAAGGCCAAGATAAAAATACAACAAAATACAGAAAAATATAAAACTGCAGAAAATACAACAAAAAATAGGAAAACGGGAAAAAGGAAATACAGAAAACACAAAAAATTGCAAAAAAAAAAAAAAAACAACTTAAAAAATTAAAAACAAGAGATACCATGCTTTAACATGCCTATTTTTTGTTATTTTTGTACTTCTCTCAGACTGTCAAACTTTAAATGGGAATTTTAGTAATTTTACCTTAACAGTCAAGCCCATAAATAAGGCAGGTGCAATGTGCTGGAATTTGAAAGTTCAGGGGTATACTACCCCCAAAGTACAGGGTGGCAGTCTATAATTTACCCTAAAATATAGGGTAAAGCAGGATTTTAAAAACAACAACTTTTTTTTTTCAAGTTTTAAACATTAAAAAATGAAAATCCAAAATCAAAATTAATAAAGATACTTGGAGCTTACTGCATTTTCCTGCTAAACCTTCCAAACTTGTCATCTAATGCCTTTCTCAAAATGCCCATTGAAATACATCATTTTCTTCAAATAAAATGAAGACCAAAATGCATTTTATCAAAGAGACATCAGGGATAGAGATCCCTAGTAAACTTACCATATTGAAATTTTTATGGTAAGAAATAAGAAAGAAAAAATCAGACATCCCAAATCAAATTATGATTTTTTGTCAGCTTGTTTTTTTTTCCACATTGTTCTCACCCAAATTTTGTACCCACTGTCAACTATTTATCCTTAAACCCCATTAGATGCCACACTATGACTTGACCCTTGTTATACATGTTGGATTTTGCTCACTTTGTGTTAATTAGACACTTGCTCGAGCAAAAGGATCACACTTCTGTCAACTATTTACTCCAGTACAATGTACCTAAGCAGCAATTTGCTCCCTACTTGTTCTCTTCTTATCTTTTTTATTTCCACCCCACCCCCTTAAATCTCAGAAGTGTGACCCTTCAATTTTAAGTGGAAGTTTACACAATGGGCTCAGAAATGACTGCAGTGGGATTATAAACCTAATTGGCCTTCGGCTTATTCAGTTATGAGTATTGTTCAAAACAGCTACCTAAGCTGCACATTTGTTTCCAGAAACAAAGAGCAAGCTATATACTTTAGAAAAGGGTAAAGATAAAGGACACTGAATCTAAATTCATCCAATTTGGAAAGTATACTGCACCTGAGCAGGGGGTAAGGACGATACCCAATCTGATGCATGTGTTGGAAGAAGACCCAATGTGTTGAGCTGTCATAAGAAAATAAACACAAATGAATAACCAGGAATACCTGATTACTTAATGGTTGGTAGTTCAAGAAAAGGTGTCATTGCATCAATATGATATCAAACAAGTGCCTCTTACCTTCCAGACACCCAATGCTAGACCTACCAGGTTCAAGGCAATAAAAAGTAACTTAGGTGCAAGAATATCTACTTTTGAATCCTTGTAAGGCTCAAAAACTGCACAAGTGGCATTGGACATGATTAAATCAGAATTGGATATTACTTAGTCTAAGCAATCTCTGAAGTAAAAGAAAATGCAAATGCTAGATATTTTAATACAAGAAACAGAAAGAAAAAGCAGCATAAAATCCCTTATGTCTTCTCTTTCTTATTTTTAGCTTCTTTTCTTTATTTTGTCTTTTAAGTGTCTGTGGGTAGGAGAGAGGGGTTTGCAGCAGGCTGCACCTGGGAGCAATGTAATTGTGCTTGCATCATCCTATCAAATTTAAAAGCATATTTTAGTTAAATGAGTGAAGAGCGCAGACACACACACACACACAAACAATTCTACACATGAACCACAGTGACAATGACACTCTATTTTCTGAAATTTGGCCATGCCAAATACAATGCCTTATTTCATCTCAAAGACATGCCACTCTTCTATACAACTAAAATGATTATAGTGGTATATGGAATGCCTGCCATTTTTGGAATTGCCTTGCTGTTTTTGCCTCAATCAGCAATGCAACACCAAAAACATTAGAAACCTGTTTGGTAAAGACAATTCCACATGGTGCTTAAGGTGTTTACATCAGTTTAGTTAGCAGTCCATATAAGCTGATCACAAAGGTGCTGTGAAAGGGGTTAAGGAATGCAATCCATGAGGTGGGGGTGGGGAGACTCAGATGACGTTTATAGAGGGAAAGCAAATTCTGGATGGTGTGCTAGTGGCTAGTGAAGTTATTGATTCAAGAATCAGAATGGGAGGGCAGGGCTGGTATGCAAAATAGACATTGAGAAGGCTTAAGATCATGTGAAGTGAGGTTTTATGGAGGAGGTTCAAAGGCTTATGGATTTCGGGAAGAGATGGAGAAGCTGGATGTATGCATGTGTATCCTCGGTTTCCTTCTCGGTCCTCTTAAATGGGGTTTCCTCAGAATTTTTCAAAGCACTAAGGGGTCTAAGACAAGGTGACCCAATTTCTCCTCTTCTTTTTGTCTTAATGATGGAAGTGTTGAATTTGCTTCTGTCGAGAGGAGTTCAGTTGGGTTTATTTGAAGGCTTCTCAGTTGGTAGACGGCCCTTGCATCTCTTGCAGATGATACACTTGTTTTTCTTGGTGCTCCAGTGGAACAAGTTCTTAATTTGAGGGCTGTATTAGTTAATTTTGAGCTGTTAACTGGTTCAAAGGTGAATTTGTCTAAGAGTATTCTAATTGGAGTGGGGGAGGTGAGTAGGGAGGTGTTAACAGATTGTGCAAATGCCTTTGAATGCAAGATTGGTGAGCTCCCTTTTTATTACTTGGGTTTGCTGGTGGGGGCAAAAAAGATTGGATGGGTGGAAAGCAAGATATTTGTCTTTGGGAGGGAGAATTATTCTCATTAGAAGTGTATTGTCAAATCTTCCAACATACTATTTGTCTCTTCTATAGAAGGACTTTCTTTGGGAAGGAGTGGAAGGAGGGGGTGACAAGAAACTCCACTTGGTGAAATGGGAATAGAGTATGCAGACCAAAATAGGGAGGGGGTTTGGGGATTAGAAGAGTGAGATTTTTTAATAAAGCTCTTCTTGGGAAATGGTTGTGGAGGTTTGGGTTGGAGAGGGAGAGTCAATCATTATGGATGAGAGTGGTGGTGGGGAAATATGGACTGGTTAGGTTTGGTTGGGAATCAAGGGAGGTCAGGGCTTCCAATGGAGTTTGTGTGTGGAAAGGTATTATGAAATTTAACCAGGAGTTTAAAAACTTCAGTTGTTTCTTGTTTGGAGATGAGGAGAGGATAAGGTTTTGGGAAGATGATTGGAGTGGGGTGGATAAGCTGATGGAGGTGTGTCCAAGGCTGTACAGACTCTCTGAGCATGAGGTCTCCATCAACCAATGTTTTAAGTGTCATGGGGATCAGAAGGCATTAAGGTTACAGACCATTCGAGAAATGAGCTGTGGTGGAATGAGTGATCTAATGAAAAATATACAGTCAAATCTTGGTATCAAGGTGTATCGGTACTTAAAATGGCACGCTTTTATATTTTTTTAGTTTTTTTTTTCAAAATTTCGTTTTTGGGCCTATTTTTAACTATATTTTGCATTAAACAGAGGCCAGTTTCTGAAACACCTGTAAATAGGTGTATCGTGAAGTGCCCGATATGATACGCCCAATATGGGGCGTATCGTATTGAAATTTTGAACCTTGCTTGGTATTCAGCATTGTTCAAGATTTTTTTTTTTTTTTTGATAAATAGCATTGTGCAAAAATTATCTCAAGATTGATCCAAGTGTGGGCATTTAGGGCAACCCAGTGCTCCTGAGCTTTAGCTTGGCTTATTTCTATGGATACTGTACTCACTGATGATCACCTTAAGAACAGAGGTTTCTGTCTTGTTAGCATGTGCTACTTATGCAGAGAGCAAGAGGAATCTGTGTGCCACCTGTTTATCCATTGCAAGGTGACTATTTTCATGTAGAAGCTATTTTCTGCATTGTTTAGGGTGAGATATCCCCAACCTGGTTCCCCTGCTCAGATCTTTTCTTCATGGCCAAAGTTCAAAGGTTGTAAGAAGGCCAAGCTTCTATGGTCCTGCATTCCTTTTGCAGTTTGCTGGTGCATATGGAAGGAAAGGAATAGGAGTTGTTTTGAAGACAAATGCTGGAGTTTGAAAAAATTAGTGGTGGCTATTAGCAAAGTCTCTTCTGACTTGGTGCTGGTTCACCCTGAATTTGCTCAGATAAAAAAGGAAGATTTAGGGGAAGGACAAGCCTGTGACTTTGGTAGTTATTTCAGTTGATGTTATGTATTTTGAACAATTAGTCTATTTTTCTATTGAGTGTATGGGTAGGTGTTGCCTTGACACCCCATCTAGCTGTACCTGTTTTTGCTTTCATTAATAATTTTTTTCCCTTTTACTTTTCAAACAAAAAGCCATGCTAAACACCACCTACATTTCTCCTGCTTTCAGCTAAGTCTAGAATATATGCATCATTTATTTTTTAACAATATATACATATTTCATCTCATGTTATTCTTAAACACTTTAGATGGCACAACTACATGTTCCAAGTAGTATGCCATAACAGATGGAAAAACTTATCTCATAATATATGAAAATTAGCTGTGCAAATGTTGGTGTTTCAGATTGGTTGAGTTCAAGTGGGAATTCCATATTGTGATTTTTATTGATAGTCAACAGATGTGCCTGGAACAATGTCAAATGGGGAATACAAAGTGCAACATAATGTCATAAGGTCAACTGTTTTTTGTTTCAAATTACTTGGTGTAATGGTAAAATCCCAGGCTGGCATGCGTGAGAACACAGGTAATGGGTTTGAATCTGATAGCTGCTACTTTGTGCAAAAAATGGCAAGACTGTACCCAGTCTACCCTCCCAAGACACCAGATAGCTAGGACTGACATTAGGTAATGGCATTTTTATAATCAGATATGGATATGGGAAATGGGGATACAACTCTCCATTTCCTAAAATTCTGCATATAGATACAGGTATCTATCCCATTTAATATGCTTGTATCATGCATTTATATCTGGTTTTTGAAGCTAAATGACATTAGTAAAGACTTATGTCCTGCCAAATTTAATTAAGTTTTTAACATGTGCAGATTTTTGAAGTTTAAGCATACCATTTTACATATTTTCAAAAGTGTAGATATAATAAAATACATCTAGAAGTACCTATGCAGTATCTCTATCATATTTGATAAGTATCGTATTCGACATCGGTGCACTAGGCATGTACAGGTATCTGGATATCATAGACTTAAATATGAGTAACTCCTAACTCTCAACTTGGATGTGGGATATTTTCCATAGCATAAAGGCAAAAATGGAAATAAGAATTACCAAATAGCTCCTCTAAATTCTATGATCTGGCATAATTAGATCTATATTCATTTATGTTTTAAACATTCCAAGTTACTTATAATAACAAAAAAGTAAGTAACCACCAACTAAAAATTAGTTATTTTCCTCCAAATGTTAAATGCTTAGATCTTCTTCTTCCAGGAGGGAGAAGAGGGACTTGGACCGTCTAATTTTGTCTAAAATGATAGTTGCATCCACTAGCTTCCAGCAGATAGGTTTCATTTAATTGATGAGGAAAACATCATTAAAAGAAAGTAAATATGACAAGGTCTTAGTCACAACTCACATAGTCAGAGATCAATCACAAAAGGAGAATATGAGTAAGAGAAAGAAGGAAGACTGAATCCTACAGACAACAAAAAACCTATAAAAGCCTCAAACTATCAAGGAAAAGAATGCTCGCAGTAATTGCTTATGCCCATATTTTTTATAAACTGATCAGGTCATTGATCTTCTGTGGAAAGAGAACCAACCTTAAATCAGTAGGCAAGGTCAGGGCCTCCCAAATAAAATAAGAGAAACTCCAAAGGCCTCTATTTAGCAAACTCAAATACAAGATCACATTATTAAGGCACTTCTCATTTCTTGATTTGTAACACTGCAGGTGTTCGTAATGGTCTGGGCTTGTCCCTTGTGTTCTTGAACAATTTGTATAGGAACAATCACTCTAGAATGGGACAAATACCTAGTGGGAAAACTATTTTGGGTGCTTGGATGTAACTCCTCCAATCCCTGGAATCTCATAAAAGAATAAGGATGTCCTACGGTTGGAAAAGCTATTGGAACAACTTGGTTGTGGGTGACAAGATGCAAGGAATTCAGGGAAGTCTCCATCTCTAACTATTTTCATTTTAACATTATATAGACAATATAGATGGTTTCTGCCTTCAGAGATCCTACTGTATAGATATTGGTTGTACATGGGTTGATTGGTAAACCTGTTTGAATGAATAAATTTACTTTGCCTTATCATAAAAAAAAAGGCTCTCTTGAGTTGAACAGAGAATAAAGAAACAATCATAACAGTGTGGGAAAACATTAACCAATTGAATAAAGCGAGATTTAGAATTTAAATTAAGAAACATTAACCAACTGTAAAAATGTTCTGCCAGGAAGTATAAMCCTGCCATTAAAAACAAAGGCATCATTGATCACATTCCAGTATCAGTAAAATGCCAAATTATATTTTAACCAGGTGAGATTCCTCTTTTTTTTCCTGATAAGTACAAGTACTGTGTGCTTAGTCAGCACACTTCAAGAACATCGGATCAGTGTCTGCTACAACAATTTCAGGTAGAAAGTTGTCTCTGTACCTTAATCCTTGATGTATCTGCATAAGATAGTAAATTGCAGTATCCAGATGCTACACTTCATGCCCAACAAGCAACAAAGCATCAAGAAATAGCAATTGGTAGGAAAATACACTTCATACAGAAATTTCCTAGACACTAAATATTGAAAGCAGAAAAACCAATAGTTGCATCGATTAAAAAAATTACAATGCTAATTAATCACAATATTTTTAAACAAACAGAACTTATCAGAATGTATAATATTACAGAAATTGCAAAAAACTCTTCATGGTCATTTTTGTAAAACAATAAATAACCTAAAGCAAAGTAACACTAGTCTTGTAGCATACTCTTTCCAACCCCTTGGAGGGCGTTTATGGGTTGCCAAAGAGCTGAAAATGTGATGCCAATGCTAAACAGATGAACTGCACTTCCAGCCATCCACATCATGAAGCCCATCATTAGCAGATTCTTTAAAGGCGATTGGGCCACTTCCCAAGCTTTCTGTTCATGAAAAAGAAGTGCAAAATGAGAATATGTTAAACAGATTTTTGTAGATAGCAAAAAATGTCACAAAAGAGCATTATGAGATCATAATTCGTCTAAAGTGGAAAACTGAACAGCATGCTCTAGATAAACAGAATCAAACTAAACAAATTGAAGGAAAGAATGCTCACTTATGAAAAAAAAAAAAATCTCCGAAGTAATGTCCGAAAAATTTCAGCCCATTAAATTGTAAAAACTTGCTTCCTAGCCCTAAATGCGACTATGAACCTTCTTCTCACTAGAAACCTATAGCAGTGACGATAGTGAGTTGCTTCATTCTCTAAAATAGAGTCAGAAAAAGAAAGAAATGAAAACTAAAATAACACTTCAGGAATTGACCACTTAAAATCGATAAGTGTGTCAAGTAGATTAGTTTTGAATCACAATTCCAAACACTAACCCAAAGAACCGACGATTGGAAATTTCAGAGAACTTCATGCCAGTGTTACACAAGATGAGAGCTATCATCAAAGGTAACCCTAATGGGGGACAAAGGCGCAAATACCTGCGCTTTCCAATTCGCTTCGGCGTCCTTCTTTTGGCGACTAACAGTCGAATCATCCTACAGGAAAGTCACCCAAAAAATCAATAGAATTTGAAGAAAAAATCCATGATTCTAGATCGAAACAAATGGCAATAAGAACCTAAAACAAAGCTCGCGGTGTCAATCTGTTATGGAATTTGAAAAAAAAAAACAAAAATATATATAAAAACCTGATCTGAAGAAGCTCGAGCATAACCAAGAGGATCCGGAATATCCCGAGAGGAAGGGGAGATTGAATTATCAGTAAAATCGATGGCCCATCTTCGTGCTACGACTCCCTTGCCCTTCTCCATTCTCTCTCTCTCTCTGCTGTTTCTTTGTCTGTTGATCTGTTTGTTTATTTGAGTCTCCTTACGGTTTAATAAAAGACAAAGCAATTAGGTCGTTCAGTTCCTCCACTGAAAGGCTGAAACTTCCCCCAACTTTTAGACATTAGCATATGGAGGAAAATTACAAAATTACTCCACTGATTATATATTATTATACCCAAAAAAAACTGTTACAAGCCTATGTGTGATGTTTGAGCACACATATGGATATTACTGATGATCCAAATGCCCTCGTAGACCGTACCTGTGCAATGGGAGTGTAGCTGCTGTCTTTTAACGAAACCACCATCCTTTCACATCATTTTTTATGAATTCTTTTAAATTTATTAGAATTTTTCAAAACGTCTAAAATTCACCATGCCATCCCCCAAGTTATTCACATCATGACTAAACTGCCCCTGAATTGTGAATCAGCCTGTTAAACATTTTTTTTTTAAACTGTAAGAGCTCAATCTTTCTTGCTCTTAACCCAGAGTGCATTTTCTGCTGTATCTTCTGGAACATGCGATATCAGTTGAGACATCATGGTTTCAAAACTTTCTTTCTCGACAATGGGGTAGAGATGCGACAGAGGCGTTTAGGCTATTCAAAGCAATGCCATTTGAAAGGGATGCTGTGTGCTGGAATGCGATGATTGTAGGGTTTATTAGGTGGGGTGAGATTGCTGCTGCAATAGAGTTGTTTGTTGTGTGCTGCATCGATGCCAAACATCATCTTTATTTCTCTAAGCCTTATTCAATTATGCTCAAACACCAAGAAGTAAGAACCTTTAATGGAGAGAGATATCAAGTTGAAATATGTTTACATTTATCGGAAACATCTATCTCTCTGTTCATAATCCAAATACATACATTTACTGTTCAAATCGACTCCCATCTCGTATCCCTAATCGTATGCCGTCTCAGCCACAGCTGATGATGCATGACCGTGTGGAACGCATTGTTCGGCCGCGGGAACGAATTCCAAACAAAATGCTGACTCGCCAGTCGCCACCATCGCTAGATTCTCGTATCTATCTCCCTTGCACGTGTTATCCAATTGCTTCTTCATCCCCTCAACCCCTCCTCCTGCCCCCACAAACACAGCGATCTCCGACCATCTCAGCACGTCCATGAACGGAAGACCCAGAATTGGACGCTCCGTAATCACCACCGGCACGCAACCGAACTGCAACGCGTCTCCGATTCCTGAAATATTTCCTCCGTAGAAAAACAAGCAGAACTTACAACACCGGATCAGACGGCTCGGATTTGACCAGGAACTGGGGATCGCCACGCAATTCGTTCGAGAACATCGATTCAAGCTTCCCATTTTGATCCCCGTTGCCGTTTAGGTTTAAGTAGCCCAGGTACTTGGCAGTTCCGTTGCCTGGCGGCGCGTGAAGTTGTTGGTCGTTAAGGTGAGCACAGCTGACATCTTTGTGAGGGATGAACCTACCTTCGGCTGTCGGAAAACACGAGATTTGAACCTACCTTCGACGATGTTCCTGTCGGAGTTCATGCCAATCCCGCTACAAGAGACGTAGAAGTGGTCAGCCCCGAGTGTACGGTTCCAAAAGGGGAAGTCCGTCCGCAGATTCCTAATCAACCGGACGATCCCTCTGTAGTTACGGGAGGAATCGTGGGGGAAAGGCAAGTAGAACAGATGGGCATCCTCGGCGTTGGTCGTTACGAAGGAGTTTTTCAGGAGAGAATCGTAGAAGAAGGGTAAAATAATAAATTAATGATATCCGTTAGTCAAGAAGCCATTATCTCACTGACATGGTGACTTTTGAACGTTTTTTTTTTTATCAATAAGTTTTGAACGTTTTGAAATGATGAATTTTGAACAATTTCCCCAATATAAAAAATTCTTAATGATGAAGTTTTTTGCATGGATGAGAAATGGAGGTTGCATTATCAAGGTTGTTCGTGGTGGTGTAATGGACGAAGAAGGTAATTGTGAAGGATCTAGATGCTAGTGGTGCTGCTTGTTGTCTAAGCATATAATGGAAGTTGTTTGGAGGGCCTGTGGCTTGGCACGACGGACAGTGGGCTGTGTCGGGTATGGTACAATTATATGGATCGTGACGGGCTTGTGGTTTTAGATTTATAAACCGGCACAGTATGACATGAATAAGCGGGTCGTGTTGCCTGTGGCCCGCGTTCTGGTACAGTCCAACACAATCTATATATATATATATATATATATATATATATATATATATATATCAAATAAATTATATATAATATTTAATATATTAAATATATTTATTTATTTAATATATAAACAATTGTATAAATTAGAATCTCCCTGTACTATAGGGTTAATGACACTTTCTTTTCCGACAAACACCCCCCTGAACTTTGGCCATTAGACAAAGACCCCCCTCCATTAATATTTAGTTAGTTAATTTAAAAAAAAATCCCATCTAACTATTTAAAATTTTTTAAATGCCTAAACTACCCTTTTCTAAGTTATTTTAGAAAAAGGTATTGTCAATAATCTTCCATTCTTAAACGAGGAATGGCAAGTGGAAAGAACTTGATAGAGCAATTGTACTCCTACACACATGAATTCCAAGAAAAGTAGATAAATTTGAATATGAATGCACTCTCCTTGAAATCGACTTAAAGCTCCTGCTGAAAGAAAAGAAAATCAGGTCTGTTAGTTCCTGGCTAACAACTTACCGCGAATGTGAATGAGTAGAATCTTAGGGTCCTAAGCTCGTGTCGTACTGAAACCTCAAAAACTCTAATTTGTTCATCAAAGACTCTTATTGCATAGATAAGCGATTACCACATGTTGTGATTCAAGGAATTCTAAAGAGTTTCAGTCTTTAATTGAGAAAACAAAAAAGGGGGAGATTGTGATTTCTGCCATATGTTGTGATTCAAGGAATACTAGAGAATCTCAGTCTTTAACTAGGAAAACAAAAAAAAGGAGATTGTGATTTCAGCTAGAGAGAGAGAGAGGAGGGGGGGAGTTGTGTTGTATTATTGTTACTTCATATTTTTACCTTTTAGTTTTGTTTATTATCTTCTGGTTCCCAAATTTTTATTAAAATTAATAATAAATAATAGTTTGTCGTGTTCAATCTTTTAATTGAATATGTGTATGCATTTATCATCATTTAATAACTGGATTTCCGATTTCATTATGAGAATATGCGTTTTTCAGTTTTCTCTTACACTTGTAAACTCCTCGTCGGATGTTTGGAATGCAGAGCATATTACTCAGTGCCGGTGGTTAGCAGCCGTTACTAGTAGCCACACCAATTTGGTCTTTATCCCGTGTCCATGACCACCATGCAATTAATGAAGAGGGGAGAATTGAGAATTTCTAATAATCCTTTAAACGCACCGGTGAGAGGTGACAAAACGAACTACCGAACTCTGTTCGAGTTCGGAGATCGTATGAAATAAAGGGACTGGGGACCAACTGTGGAACTCTGTTTTTTATATCCCAGTTTCGTTTATTATCTAATTAATAATCCTTTAAATGCACCGGTGAGATGACAAAAATATTTTTCGGTGAGAATCAATGAAGATATTTTTTCAGTCAGTTACGTTTTAAGAGAGAATGGCAAAAAAGAAAATAGAGAAAGGTTAGTAGGGTATTTTGGTAATTTAATGCTTTCTGTCATCTGATTTAACGGCTTAGAGAGTATCTGCCGCAACATAAAAGTTCAGGGGGGGTGTTTGTCACAAAAGAAATATATATATATATATATATATATTTTAAATTATATTAAAATTTTCATTATTTTTTTTTTAATTTTTAAAAAATATGACTTAGCCCAATCTGTGACCCAGCCTGGCCCAAAACTCTACTATGGATCAGCTTGGCTTGTGGCACTGCATGAGTCCATGCGAGCTTGGGCCATGATCATACCGAACCAACCCCCGAAGTATCCCAAAAAAAGAAAATACAGCCCAGCTCGGCCCGCACTTTGCACGGGCAGCATGCGGGTCATGCCGATCAACATAGCCAAATTTACACTTATAGGGAAAGTTTGTTGCTATGGTTGTAATGGCACCATGGTTCTTGTTCAGATCCTATCAGAGTTATACCATCGGAGAAGCTTGGTAAATTGATTCCATAATTGGTAACAGGTCGAAAGGATGTTAAGTCAAGGTCACAACTGATTCTTCTAGAGCTTTGGTTGATTTGGACACTAGACTATTTCGTGACATAGTAACCAAAGGTCTTATCAAACCCATATCTAATCTATTGTGTTTGTAAAGTTGGTAAATGCCGATTCCAATTGGATGGTTCACCTAAAACCAATGTTCGGAAAATTGGACTGAATTGATCGGTTGAACCAGTCAAATCGTGACCCGGACCCTGACCGCTTCGATCATACCCCCAAAGCCATTTCATTAAAAGAACTGTAAAAAACCATCCGCCCGCCTAATTCAACCTGGGAACCAGTAAACTGGTAACAGTTTTGTATAACTGGCCGGTTTTATTTTACAAAAAGACAAAAAAAAACGCAAAAATGGACCAAATAGAACCAAGGTCTAAAACCAAAATCCCAAAACCTTCGTCTACTCATCCCCTTCTTTCTCTGATCGAACTCCAGGACTCTACCACTAAGCACTGCCTCCAAGCTCCCTCGCTCCAGCAATAGTTGCCGCTGACGCCACTAGCGGTAGCTGACAATGCCAGCCAAGTACTCTCTCTCTCTCTCTCTCTCCTCTTCCTCCTCCTCCTCCTTCTTCTTCTTCCCGCTGGTGGTCTGTTCACTACGCACAATAGTTCCTCTCCTCTCCTCTTCCAGCGGTGGTCTGTTCACCGTCACTTAGCACGCCTCTCCTCCTCCTCCTTCCCACTGGTGGTCTGCTCACTACGCACAGTAGTTCCTCTCCTCTTCCCTCCTCCTCCGGCGGTGGTCTGTTTATTGTCTCTTAGCGTGCACAGTTTCTTTTCATATGAATCATCACCGCAAACTCTTTCAATTTCTTTTTTGAAATTGATTTATTTTTCAAATTTTCTCTTCATGTCAATCATTCAAAGGTAAATCTATATTTTTAAATTTTCTATTGTCTTTTATTGTTCAGTTTGTGGCTCTTGTTAAAAAATTCTCACAGGGGTTTCTATTTGCAACTGTATCAAAAAGTTCAAGGGAGGTGATCCTAAATTTGTAATTACTAAATTTTAGGAGAGGTTTCAGCAATTTATCCTTGATAAAAAGGAATTGCACTTGTTACCACTTTGATAAAGAAGAAAATGATGATTTTTGGGGGTCGTTCATTTCTGCTTATCTCTTATCTCTTAAAGTAAAATCATACAATTTTTTGTTTTCTAATGATAATCCCAAAAAGACAAACAAAAAATCTCATATATAGGGTCAAAATGGATATTTGATATTTTTCAGAGTTTAGAATTCAGAATATCCTCTACATTCAGAGTTCAATTTACATGATGTACAACTTGAAGGTGATGTTGAGTCAATTTCAAAGCTTCTATTGGATGCATCTAGGTATTCTTCATGGTGCATTCCTACAATCATTGCTGATTGCCCGAGTTATACCCTAATTGATAGCCTTCTTCTTTTTCTTGTCTTATGTTAGTAGAGGAAACAACACGGTGGCTTATCTATCATCTTGCTTGGGTTGTTGTATCTTTTTCTCATATTATTACTTGGTGTATATGCCCTATGTTTCTAATAGCCATTGTAGAATATTATATTTCTTATCATGATAGAATGAAATTCAAGAATTTTGCTTTCAATAAAATTAATAAAAAGAATTATTAATAGAAATTTTCTAAATTTATAAAAATATAATTATTAAAATTAATAAAAAAGAGTAAAAATTAATGAAAATAACAAAATTAATATCCATTTAAAAAATAATACAAACTTATCTAATAATAATAAAATTAAAATGTAAAAAAATAAGTAAAATAATATAAATTTATTAGTTTTAAAATTTTCTTTCATTAGTTCAAATCCCATTTAAAATTTGGCATCGTTAAGCATTAATAAAATAATGGTCAGGTTGGACTAAGACTAGTTCAACCTACTTGAGAATGTTATAGGGATCCTCCAGCTTCAATTTTGCTTGGCAAGTCCCATGCATAGGGGTGTATAATCAGTCGGTTTCGTTTGGTTCAACTAGAACCAAGGACCTTATCAACTATTCAGTTTGACCATCTTCCCCAATCGAGTTAAGCCAAATTGGAGTTAAAAACCAAACTGACCCTAACTGAATTTAGTTCGGTTTGGTTTGGTTTTTGATTTGGTCGGATCCTTAATTGCAAAAGTTTATGTAGTTGAACTTGGTTATACTATAGTGACAAACAAATATGTTACATCATTTTTTATCATTAAATGACAAGCAAATAAAAATTTAAAATTCAGCCAATCCAACAATCGTCAAGTATCCTCTATAAGAGCAATAAAAGGAGAGACAAACTAGGAATTGATTTGCTAAAGTTGCCCATGTTTTATTTATACAAGATAACATATGCAAATTTGTTAAGTGTAGGCAATAAGAGACAACGAATGCATGAATTATGGAAATTTAAATAATACATTGTAATCTTAGATTCATCAAAAACTAGTACTCCAATAGGCCCTATCAACACAAATTTCGTATATAAATCCAAATACAAGAAAAATGAAGACAAATTCAAGTAATTTGATTTCTTTATATTTGTGAATTAAATGGAACCTATGATTCTCTCTTGAAGATGTACTTCTTCCAACTTAAGGATTTGGATTGAGTTGAAGCCGAGGGTCAAATGACATTCTCCCATATTTCAGAAAATGACAAAGATTGCTTTCTTCAATTGAGCTTTGACAGTTTGATCAAAAGAAGGATTTTACAAGAACTTCAAGAGTGTTGTATCTTTGCTCTTTAGAAAGCTGGGGATGTGTTTCCTCCATCTCCAAGAGCTTTCTAACTTAGTTTCTCCTTGACCAAAAGTCCCCTCCCTCTTAATGAGGACCCCTATGTTGGACAGTTTTTGTATGTCCTTAGTTTCAATCAGTTTTGATGTACTTTTGATATTTAATATAAATAAATGAAGTACATGTTTGATTCATCTTGTGTGGTATACTTCTGTGTGTAAGACCCTAAAACTGGACACTTAATGAGACTTGTGTTGGTTTAAAATATTCACAGCCGTTGGATAAGTCTGGGGAGATTTATCCTGTCGAGGCTGACACTGGTGTGTTGCCAACTGTTGGGGTGGCTTGTCTCAGCTGCCAGGGTGAGACCCAAGGCACATGCAGTGTAGGATTACTTAAACCCTTGAACCTGACCAGATTTCCAGTATTGCCCTGGACCTTGGAGGTCGAGGTTGCTGCTCATATGCTTGTCGAAGTCGCACGTTTCAAGTATGCACACGTTTTCAGAACGCGTGGCACGCTCTTACGCTGCTGATCGAAAGTGCCTGGACCGAAGCCGAACTCCTTATGGGTACATACGCACACAATGACGATAACGAGAGTACGGTAGCCACCAGGCCAAATATCTGAGAGCCGGGTGTTATCTGGACGCCTGTCGGTAGGGACTCGGGAGTAATCCCAAAAGATCCAATCCAACGGATATCCAAGCAATTGAACGGAGACACGAGAGAAGTCTTTCCCAATTCTAAACTCTGCTCCTCCCTCGTGCCTACAGGTTTTGCTTCATTACTTCGGTCTCTGTGTGCTACGAACCCAAACCACGTTTCTGTGTGTATGTTGTTTTTGACGAAAATCGCACTGCAACGTGGACGGCAGTTTTATGTCCAGCTGTTTCTCTCTCCTTTCTGAGCAGACTCGAGTTTAAATACAGCCCCTGCTCAACCTGCCACCCCACGCTCAGTTTTTTCGTCCGCAGACACGGCACTTGTTTCAGTGGAAGCGTTCGGAGGAAAGCTTGCTAGATCTTGTGCAAGAACAATGTTGGTTTCCATGTCGAGCACTGCAGGCCTCGTAATCCCCTGCAAGGGTATATGGATTCGATTGCCATTTCCTCTTTCTGCGTTTCTTTCTTTTCCTTGTTTTCTGTTCTGGGTTTCTTTCTTTTCTCTCGAATCATTTTAAAATGTTTGCATACCTTTTTTTTTTTATTCTTGTAACTTTCTGATAAATGTCTGCTCTGATTGTGCAGCTGCGGTTGCATGGGAAGCCGGGAAGCCGCTGGTGATGGAGCAGGTGGAGGTGGCTCCACCACAGGTCATGGAAGTCAGGATCAAGATCAAATATACTTCACTTTGCCATACTGATCTTTACTTCTGGGAAGCTAAGGTTAGTAAATGGTTGCGACTTTATTTCCAACATTTAGTCTGGGAACAGAGTTAGACACCATTTTTCTTTGATTTAATAATAATCGGTTGCTTTCTTTTATATTTTTTTTATTCACATCAAATATGAACGACCAATTTATTGTATTTTATGGCTTCTATCTCTTTCGACCTGATTTTTTTTTTAATTTATATTAATATGAATATTAGATTGCCTCCAATGTAAATCGATCTGCATTTTCCCTATTCACTGGTTTAGGTAAAATTTTCCTGCTAAAAGGACAAAACTTGGCAGCTTAATTTGCTTGACAAGGTTTTTAATTTTTGGGGCTTTCACCATACTTGTTACTTGCTGGGCTTCTAAGTCACCGAATTTGTTCTGTATATGAGCTAGCCATCTGCAAGCATTTATATTTTTAACCTTAAGAAATTTGGGTTTTGGATTTTCAGGGCCAAACGCCATTGTTTCCTCGCATATTTGGCCATGAAGCAGCTGGGTAAGCTATTCTGTACGTCTACTTTTTGTCCTTTATTCCCTTCAACTTAGTTTTACCTTATAGACTGAGGAGAGGATGTTGCCCCTAGTATTAGAGCAGGATGGCAAAGTGGAGAGGTGCATAGAGAATCTCATGTGATAGGCAAGTACTACTTATATTGAAAGAAAAATTTTATATAAAACAGTTGTAAGGCCAGCAGCATTATTGCTGTATGGAGCAGATTGCTTGGCATTCACAAACAACTGTTTTAAGTGTGACAGAAATACTAGGAAAGGATAGAGTGAAAAAATGGAAAGGATAAGGTCAGAATTGAAGTCATTTGTGCAGCTAACGATGATTAGTAGTTACTTAAGTTACTTATATTTTCAAATTTTCACAGTTGTTGGATTTGTCTGATGGTAAAGTATATGAAGTAGAGTTTCTAGGAGACATATAGGGGAATCCTCATAAACAAAACTTGTTGGCAGAATTGTGGAAAGTGTTGGTGAAGGAGTAACAGACCTTAAGGAGGGAGACCATGTACTTCCAGTGTTCACAGGGGAGTGTGGGGACTGCAGTCACTGCAAATCTGAGGAGAGCAATATGTGTGACCTTCTGAGAATAAACACAGACAGAGGAGTCATGATTAATGATGGGAAATCAAGGTTTTCAATTAATGGAAACCCAATCAATCACTTTGTTGGAACATCCACCTTCAGCGAATACACTGTTGTTCATTCAGGCTGTCTTGCAAAGATCAATCCATTGGCACCTTTGGATAAAGTTTGTATCCTCAGTTGTGGCATCTCAACAGGTTAGTCAAACTTGATCTTGTGCCTATAAGAATGTTGCCCATAAGTTGTCTGTATATATTTATATCTTTTCTCTCAAATTTCAGGTTTGGGTGCTACTCTAAACGTGGCTAAACCAAAGAAGGGATCTTCTGTTGCCATATTTGGCTTGGGAGCTGTAGGCCTAGCTGTAAGAATTCTGCAATTCAATTACTTAATATCTAATTTCTTTTGCACAGCTTTTACTCTGGTTTTATTCAATTTTTTGTTTCTTTCCTTCGTGTCTAGGCTGCTGAAGGGGCAAGAATTGCTGGAGCCTCAAGAATTATTGGAGTTGATTTGAACCCCAAGAGATTTGTGGAAGGTAAGCTCATCAAATTCTTTTTATCAATGTCCTTGCAATATTGAGTAACCTGTTATTAATGGCGAAACCTGTTCTTATTAGTTTAACATGTTTTATCTTTTCTAATATCTTCATTGCCCTATATTTTTTTCTTTCTTCTTTTTCCAGCCAAGAAATTTGGTGTCACGGAATTTGTGAATCCTAAGGACCACAACAGACCTGTGCATGAGGTATCAATCTATTTTCCTGTTTACAACTCTGTTTTCTACTCTAAATATGGTTTTCTTTTTCATACATATCCAATTCTCTTGATCCACACAGGTTCTTCAAGAGATGACGAACGGTGGGGTTGATAGGAGTCTCGAGTGCACAGGAAACATTAATGCCATGATGTCTGCTTTCGAATGCGTTCACGACGTATGCATCATTATATATCAAATAGCAAATTTCATACTTCATTTTCTGTTGATTCTTCAGTTTCTTTTGTTTCTTATGATCAATTCAGTAGCCAGTAACTTTGCCCACTAAACAATGTAGGGATGGGGTGTAGCCGTACTTGTTGGAGTTCCAAACAAGGATGCAGTTTTTATGACCAAACCCATTAATGTTCTGAATGAAAGGACACTCAAAGGAACCTTCTTTGGGAATTATAAACCTCGCACAGATCTTCCTTCTGTTGTCAATATGTACATGAACAAGGTAAGTTCATGCAATCACTGAAGAGATGTGTGTATATTTCCTTTTACCAGTCTCAAATTTCTTGTCTTGAGTTTCAAGTGCCAAAAATCTTAGGAGGATTGCAAAACTTTTTCTCTGCAGGAATTTGAATTGGACAAATTCATCACCCATCATGTTCCTTTCTCCGAGATCAACAAGGCCTTTGAGTATATGATTAGGGGTGAGGGTCTGCGCTGTATCATCAATATGGAAGAGTAGAGTGAAGGATGGAGAGACTGAAAGGAACCATGGTATTTGGGCCTTTCTCAATTGCTGTCTATGTACTTGAACTTTCTTCCTCCTTGTTTTACTTGGCGTCTTTTTTGTACAATGTGAAAGTTGTAATCGTCTACTGATACCCTTTGAGCATGAACATGAATATGAAATCTTGACAAGTAGCCTATGCCAGAACTCAATTTTTATGGAAACTGACTACAACTATACACCAAAACTCCAGCCAAAGGAGGTGCTTCGGAGATTCTGTGGGCGTTGAGGACGTTACAATTGTTTACACAAAATGGGTATTTGATGTTTCAGCTGGTTTATTGATAAAGAAAAAAAATGTTTCAGCTGGTTTCTCCTCCATTTGGCAAATTTCATCCCGGTATCCCTGCTCTGATCTGCCAAAAACCCAACTTCATTTTTTTGGATCTTGTGTGGTAGAAGAGTATTCAGGGACTTAATTGAATCATCATTCACAGTCACGGGCCTGGGCAAACATGTCAGGATTTGCACTGATGTGGCTTTGATTCCTCTGTATGTGGTCAATTTGAACAAAAGTTTGTTTTAAAGTGTTGTTGTCAATGGGTAGGCATGGATCCCACCCGATAAGTATGAGCAGAACCAGTTTCGAATCTGACCTATATGGTCTGCAATCCGGACAATATGGTCTGACCAAATAAGACCCCATTAAAATCGATAGCTCAACAATCAGTCCTACATCAATTTGGGTCTTAATCCCTCGGCCCAATTGTAATCAGGACACAAAATACACTAACTGTTCTAGCCGGTCGGGCTGGGCCGGGTTTATGGTCAATTCAGGCCCAACCCCAAGTTTTGGGCCTAAGGCCTGAGGTCAAGGTTGATCTTTTCGATCTGAGTCCAGTCCAGTCCGCACTGTAATCAGGTTTGAACTATCAAAAGGATATGCCTAGACTCAATCCGAAAAATAGAAGTCTTACCCGAGTCTTACTTGAGACAAAAATTCAAGCCCAGTTAATATAAAATTTCGGACTGGGTCCAGTTGAACCTGCAAATACACACCAGTCCTTATACAATTGTATCGGTTTGGTTTGTCAGGTCTACCTGTCCAGATGGGTGAGCATTTTGGGGATGAATTTTTGGATTTGGCCTTTGAATCCATATTACTTATCTTACTGCTTAACCCTTCAGATATTGTAATAGGACTGATTGTTACTGCTGTTGATACCATTTGGCATAGAATTAAATGCTTTGATACTAAAATTATATTATAGGATTGAATATTTTGTTACCTAAATGATGTAGTTAGATGAGAATCATTTGGGGTTTTGGGTCAAATCTTTGAGAATTGTAAATATTTAGGCCATGTTTGGTTTGAAGGAAAAGATAGGGAAAGGAAGGGAAACGTAGGGAAAACTAGGGATTAAAAAAAAGTAGAAAAGTTTTTACAACAAACCCAACATTAAAAAAAGAAATAGAAAATTCAAGAAGGTTTTGAGTAGGGCTGTTCATGGGTTGGGTTGGGTCGGTTTAATAAATTTTTTTCAACCGACCCGACCTGGTTGGGTTATTTAAAGAGCAAATCAAATCCAACCTACCATTAAGCAAAACCGACCCAAACATAGAGGGTCAGTTTGGTCATTTTGGCATTGTTTGTGAACAGCCCTATATTTGGTGTAAAATTTCCTACTCAAAAACAATTCTCAAGGCAAAAGTAATTCCTATTTAACTAATGTTTTATTGTTCTTTAATGTTAAAAATAAGTAACTAACTAGAAAGAATAAACTAGGATAAGGATTACCTAGTTAGGGAAAGACTAAAATCAAAAACTAACTCAGTTCAGTTCGGTTCAGTTTTGGTTTTAACATATGAAAACTAGAAAGAATAAACTAGGATAAGGATTACCTAGTTAGGGAAAGACTATAAAATCAAAAACTAACTCAGTTCGGTTCGGTTCAGTTTTGGTTTTAACATATGAAAACTGAAACCCAAACCAAATTATCAGTTTATCCCTCCTTACAACCTGAAACCGACTGATAGTGAAGAAAAATCGACCAAATCGGATTGGGTTGGACCAGTTTGATCGGTTTAACATTGTTTGTGAACAGCCCAAGTTTTGAGTTTCTATAATATTTAACCTCATCAAGATTTGATACAAATAACAGTTGTCTCAAGTCTCAACTGTAACTGGTTTCACTTGTTCTTCTCACCTCTCCTTTAGCTCTTATTTTTGAGGTCATTCATTCTCATTACTACTTGCTACTTTTGTTCTTTGCTAATCCTACTATTTTTTTTCACAACTTCATTTCTCATTCTATACTTCTTGCAGCATATCAAAGACTTTTTAAACAAGAACCCATATCAAAGTTTTTGAAGCAAAAAATAAAAAATAAAACCCATATCAAAGTTTTAAATATTGATACATGTTAGCCGAAATGGGTGGATTTGTATTAAATTTTTCATACATGGAGAATGTTGAAGTATTGACACATATTGCACCCTATCATACCATACATATCGGTTTTCAAGGACACCATACGCTTAATAATAGAGATTCGGAACAAATATATATATTTTTTTTGAAGACACATTTTAGTAGATTTAAACATTAATAAACATGTAATATATCCATAAATGGTAATAAAAATTAAAAAAAAGGAGTATCTAATTATTGACTCGTATTTTTAAGTATTGAGCTTATTGATGATTTGAACCATGACTTTTGGTTGCATTTTTCTTAAAAAATCTTCAGCATCAAGCAATATCTGTCAAAATTGATGTATATGGGCCGATACTAATATACATTAATATGCATCATTGTGCTCATTGAAACATGTTAGCATGTTTGATCAGAAAAAAAAAATGCATGTCTATGTGGGAAAATGCCAGTTTTTATAGATTCTTTTACATCGTAAATTTTTATAGGTTTCGTTTAGTTAGGAGCAGTGACAAGTGGAGAAATCTATCACAATACAAAGGGAGGGAAACTGTAGCATAGGTGAGGGTTTAGGACAATACATTCAAACTTTGTTATTCGATCTAAACCCTAAAAACTCAATCATAAATCCACCAAAATCCCACCCATTTTGGCCTACAATTTGGTGGGGAAAGTTTTTAACATAAAACTACCTAGTTATATTTTAGAGAAAATCCCTTGGAATTGAACTTCTTTAGTAGAAATGGGTTTAGGTGCTAAATCTCCACTAATTATTTTTCAATTTTTTATTTAAATCTTTCAAGTATAACAGATTTACATGTTTAGATTTTTGAAATGCATAGATAAATACCGATCTCTACCAAAACTATGATGTTTTTTTTTTTTTAAATTAAGTCTCGATTTTTTTGAAAAAATGGAAAAAATAAAAATACAAAAAAAAAGGCTTGATTAAGAAGATCCTTGAGCACCCTCTTGCATGGAGGGCTCCCAATCAAAATTTCCTAGGTTTTCGTTTGATAAGGACAACAACTTCACCATCACAGTCAAAGCTAGAGTCACACTTGTACATGATTTTGTGTCTTAGATTTTATATTTCTGGATCTTCTACCAATCTCTTTGATGTTGTTTCTAATATGTTTTTGACATTAAGATTATATATATTTTCCACTTCCCATCTAGAACCAAGGTTCAAAGTATCTACATAGGCCGATATGCCGGTAGGGTGTATCAGCCTGTATTAGTGTTTTTTTATATTTTATTTATTTTATTTTCAAAACCGGTTCAGAGGAATCGGTTTGAGTCCTGGTTACCCTCTGAATCATGGTCTGATCCTATACAACCCCTGTAGGGGCGTACCAGGAAGTCATCGACATGATACATATCAACCGATACGGGCCGATACATGTCAATACTTTGAACCTTATAGAGCTCTCATCTCTCTCGAATGATATCATTCTAAATCTGATCTCTGAGGAAGAAAATAACATGTTAATGTCAGTCCCGTTGGGGGAGGAGATTATAAGGGCTCTATTTGATATTGGGCTTTGGAAGGCTACAGGCCCGGATGGTATCTCTTCTATGTTTTACCAAAAATGTTGGGACCTTGTTTGAGAAGATCTGGTCCTATTTATTCAAGATTTGTTTTTAATTCCTTAAACAATTGTTTTTATCAATGCTACGGATGTCATCTACAACAATTGTTTTGGTCCCATTGAACTCACGAATGTCATCTACAAAGTAGTTAACAAGGTGGTTACTCAAAGATTGAAGTCGATCATTTCTCGGCTTCTTACTCCATTGTAGAATGTCTTAACTCCGGGTAGGCTTATCACTGACAGTAGGATTGTGGCAACTGAGGTGATAAGCTCCCTAAAAAAGGAAAAAAGGGAGATTCAAAGATTTTTTTTTACTCAAGATAGATCAATCTAGGATAGATTGATCTATCATATGGAATGAGATTTTGTTATTAAATGTTTGTAGCTTAGAGGATTCTCCCCACACTTTTGTGAATTATGTAAATGGCCCGTGCGATGTACGGGATATTTGTACCAATGAATGATACCGCAACCAGATATAGATCTTAACCAAGTGGGGTGTAGTCACTTGTTTGATTCTTCACTTGTGTTAGTGCCAACTTGTTTGATTGTCCTAAAATAAAATCATACTTCAATTACTTCATCCTACTTGAGTGTGAGTGGTAATGTCAAAGAAAATAAAACTGACTTAAGACAAGATCAAGGATTCCATTTATCATATAATGTAATGTGTGTGTATATAAATACACAAAAAGCTCCATATTGCAGCATTAGCACAATGACTTAGAGGGCTATGAAATCAATCATAATGATTCATGCCGGTCATAAATTAAAATCCAAGGACTAATCCTATTTGGAATGGTGTGGAATAGATTCAGTTCAATTATAGAGCCTAGTAGTAGGGGGGTTTGCTCTCAACTTTTCCAGTGCAAGATGTTGAAACCAAACCTTGAGGATGCCAAAAGCAAAACAGAACGACGGTTTTGCTCTTAGCTTGCAAGTGTAGGATATTGAAAGCAAACAACTTGGATCTTTAAGTAAAACAAGCACTAAGTTTTTGTATTTTTATGATGTCTTTCACTGATGGTTAAGAGAATTAGGTGTGTGAGAATTTACAAATTACAAAACACCAAAAAAATGCTTAGAAATTACAAATACAAACTTGATTTGGGAAAATGTAAGCCTGCTTAAGACACAGGATTAAACATTGAATTAAACCCAAAGATGAAAAGTGCTTGAAACTTATAAATCAAAA